ATAAATGTTTTTACTTCAAAGTCTCTTCATTAAAACCACAAGAGCTTGATCCGTACTCGGCTGCACCGTTCCCGCTTCTTTAGATCTTCCTCTCCTTCCTGTCCCCGCCACAGCCGACCATTCCAAGTTCAATTCCACAAAAATTAATACTAACATCTTCACAAAGAAATTAAAACAGAGAAACAAAGAAGTAGAAAAAAATTTGTAATTTATGCATTTATAAAATCTCTCATTGGACGGTTCTGCTGTTTTCAAAAAATTCTAGTCATCTACTTGGCAATTAATCAATTATTTATTTATTGATAATGGTAGTATTAACTTTTTGGGAATATTTTCAGCTGAAATGAGTTGTGAAAGCTTATGGAGTTTGAGATTTCGAGCATGAAATGCGCCGCAAAAGAGCTTTTGCATGCATTTATTGTCGTGTCATGGCAGTAGCATGATCTTAATGCTCAATTCTCTCTTCCCTTTCATATATAAGTACAAGTATGTGTTCTTGTTTGTACACGACTCCACCAAGTCCCATTTTTCTCCAATTCCATATTTTGGAAAGTCTTTGAATTTTGGTTAGTCTCTTCTTTTTAATATTTTCAACTTAAATCAGTTTATTCATAAGCTAGACTTTGTATTATATATCTTGAACACACACACACACACACACATATACATATATATATATATATATATATTCTCATAGCAAACACTTCTACTTCTATGAGTAATTAAACTTTGAATATAGTTCAAAGATACAAAATCAAGTTAAATCTATTTGTGAACTTGGTAAGATTTTAGAGCTTTTGAAACTAAATTTTATGAGCATTTTTTTTACTTGTATCTTTGTTGTTAATTTCTATGAAACTCATCATGTTTTTTCTTTTCTTTTAATCATTAGGGCAACAAAGACTAAATTGGGAGGAAATATACTTACGATAAAATGAAAAAGGCCATTTTCCTGCAATTTTTACTTGGAATATTGTTTTGCATTAGTATTTTCTGTGCCAATGCAGAAGACCCATATAGATAGTGTACTTGGGTTGTCACATATGGAACACGGGCTCCTCGTGGTGTTTACCAACGGGTTAGTTTCTATCTCCAAGCAGCAATTTCCTTTTACTATGATTTTCATTTTAAGAACATTGTTCAGACAAATGTTTACTTTTACAGGAATTCTAAGTGGAAATTCCTTTCTTTTTTTTTCCTTTATAATTTGCAGGTTATTCTTATTAATAATCAATTTCCTGGACCTCCAATTGAAGCTGTGACTAATGACAACCTAATTGTAAACGTCATCGATCAATTAGATGAACTCTTCCTCATTACATGGTTCGTTGCTCAACTTCATAAGCTTCTTTACTGATTTTGTAAATTTTTTTGTGCGTGCGCGGGCACATATGCATATGCTTTAATTAATTCATATGCTTGATTAAGGTTAATAACCAGGATTTTGTTACGGAAATTAGGCATGGAATTAAACAGAGGAGGACCTCGTGCTTGGGACCAATTGCCCAATCCAACCACACTCAAACTGGACATAAAGTTCCAGATGAAAGATCAAATTGGAAGTAACTGCTACTATCCTTCAACTTTGATGCACAGAGCCGCTGGTGGTTTCGGGGCTATCAATCTTAGTCAAAGCTCTGTGATACCAATCCCATACCCTGCACCTGATGGAGAGTTCACTTTGCTTGTTGGTGATTGGTACAAGGCTGGTGGCAAGGTATATATACCATTTTTCAGTTATATGATCTGCCATGGCTCCAATCCAATTGTTGGACATGTGAGATAATGTTCTAACCAAACATATTTTCACAGGCCTTACAGAAAAGGCTGGATTCAGGCTTGGGTCTTCCTCTGCCAGATGGCCTTCATATAAATGGTCTCTACAAATCTTCTACTTTCACTGGTCAGAAAGGTAATCGTCCTATTTAACTTTCTTAGGTGAAACAGAGGATTCTGTAGAGAACTACGCTAAATTTTGCTTGGATTCTTACTCAATTACAGGGAAAACATACAAATTTAGGATTACAAATGTAGGTATATCAACATCAATTAACTTCAGGATCCAGGGTCATCCAATGACTCTTATTGAAGTTGAAGGAAGTCATAGTCTGCAAGAGGTGTACGAGTCCATTGATATTCATGTGGGTTAAAAGGCTACTGCATGCTGTTTTGGTTACCTTACATGCGGTAATTAAAGACTACTACATTGTAGCTTCTACCCGTTTCACAAAGCCTATTCTCACCACTACTGGTATTCTTCGCTACGACGGTTCCCACACTCCAGCCTCTTTGCCATTGCCTATAGGCCCAACTTATCATGTTCAGTGGTCCATGAAACAAGCCAGGACCATTAGGTAGTCGAACGTCTTGCAGGAACATGATCTGTTTGCTCTTAACAAAAATGATTGCTCATGTATCCTATGATCCTCCCGAATTTCTCATTATTGTGTTTCAGATTAAACTTGACAGCAAATGCAGCTAGGCTTAATCCTCAAGGGTCATTCCACTATGGGTCAATAAAGATTTTGAGGACACTTGTTTTGGCTAATGCGAAGGTCAAGATTAAGGGCAAGTTGCGGTATGCTGTTAACGGGATATCCTATGTGGATCCGACCACTCCATTGAAGCCAGCAGACTGGTTTAACATCCCCGGTGTCTTCAAATTAAACTCAATCAAGGATTTTCCAACTTTAGGGCCTGCAGGCTTGGGTGTATCTGTCTTTGGAATCACACTTCATGACTTTGTTGAGATTGTTTTCCAGAACACCGAAACCATCATCCAGTGTTGGCATCTTGATGGATCTAGCTTCTATGTTGGGTATGCTTTTAGACATCCTGCATTTTAACAAAATTTCACCATGGTTTTAATAAATAGGCCATAATTAATTCATAAATTAAATGAATTTATCATTTAACGTGTTTGAAAGTTTCAGATATGGTGCTGGCAAGTGGACAACTGACTCAAGAAGACGCTACAAACTGGCCGATGCAATATCTAGACACACTGTTCAGGTAATCCAAAGCAATATTTATACAAATAATCTTTTGGAATGGGGAATCTCTAATCTTGAATTCATTACTATTTTTTTTTTCATGTTTCAAAAATTGAACATACTAGCTTAATTAGCAAAATCTTGGCAGGTATATCCATCTGAACCGCAGTTTTGGTTTCATTGGACAACAAAGGTATGTGGAACTTGAGGTCGCAAGACTGGTCAAAGCGGTATCTAGGCCAGCAAGTTTATCTTAGAGTTTGGAACGACGAAAAAAGCCTGTTTACTGAGACTGACATTCCTCCAAATGCACTACTTTGTGGCAAGGCCATTCACCTATAGAAGAAGAACATTAATGTCGCATTGGCAATCTATGTTCATCATCAGCAAATTTTCAGATTTTTCCCCTTCAATTTCAGTTACAAGGGTGTGATTGTTAGGAAGAAAAATGGGGGATTTAGGCTTCAGAAAAACTAGCTAGCTAGATTACTTTCTTTCGCAATCACAATAAACATTTTCCTCTTACTAGCCTGTGGAAATTAATGTGGTGCATGCCGTGAATATCCTGAATGTTTCATTGCCCCCTTGATTCTTGAAAAACAAGCTTCATTCAGTCAATAGCCAGCTCATTCAACTGTAATGATATGCAGTGTGAACATATGCACTAAGTTTGGAAAGTACTCAATTTTCAATTAATTCTTTTGCAAACTCAGTGAATAACAAAGCTCGCTTGAAAGAGAACTAGTAAAGGAAGTGTGGTTTGAATGGTAATGAAAATGACCAACAATCATAATCAGATTGTAGCGTAGTTTGCACAAAGTGGGATCCAAATTGGTACACTTCTTTGCGATAATCGTTAGAGCTATGTTTTTTTTTTTTTTTTTTTGGGTGAGGGTTGCTTCAGAGCATACGAAACTGAGGCTCCTTTGTATGAAATTTTGAGATGAATGCAAGTAGCTAACGACAGCCCACCTAACTGGCATGCAAACAAAAGCAAAAAATTCTAATTTGGCGTCCATATATATGTATACACTTAAAATGTACGTTCACCCCAGGGCCAGCTAGGGGAGGGGAAGTCCTTATCCCAGGACCTAGGTAGACAATTTTAGCCACAGGAGTCCCTTCCTGGGAGATTAGATCACAAGCTTTAATTTGAAGGTGTCTCTCACCAGTCAAATGTCAGAGGCAAAATCAATACATTAAGCACAAGCCATGTCCCCCTAATTACATGCGAAAAGTATGTTACTCTATCTCTCAAAAAATTGATCGAAAGGTTAACAAGTGAAAAAAGTAAGGGTTTCAAATTATTTAAAAGAAAAACAGTGAAGAGGGAATAAAACTGAAGCCAGTCTCCAGAGAAGCAGGCAAGGGGCAGACACCAACTCTTTAACATAAGGCTGCAGGTGCAATCCTCCTTTCCACTGCAAGAATCAAATTGCTGTTTACGGGAACTCTTCCCAAAGGCTGCTTTATAACTTTTTTCATCACTTTCTCATAACAAAACAATAAAGAGAATCTTCAATTTCATTTGCAACCCACCAGTTCATGACACACCTCCAGTGTCCCTTATAGTTCATGAAAATCAGAAATTGAAACCCAAAGAAGTTTTTGATTTAAACGGGATAATAAAGTTGTAGCCATGTGTTTGCTTATTTACTTTTGATTTGTATGGCGTTATTCTTTTTTCAGTCTTAAAATCTAAAGGAAACTTCATAATTTTTATTGTCTTGACTCTTAAGTTGAATTTAAACCCTTTACATACATGGCTAAAAAATTAGGCTCTAGCTAGTCCATTTGTAGAAGGAATCTGAGGAGACAAATTACCGATGATATTCTATGTCAAAGATCACCTTTTTCAACATGGAGCATTGAAGGAAAAAAAAAAAAAAAAACTTCTAACATTTTCCATTTTTTTTACTTCTTCTCCATCCTTGGTACACTCTCACAAGTTAATTAAACACACCTTAAAGCACACTTAAAAGAGAATAGAAAGGGACAAAAGAAACAACCTGGTGCTACCCCTACAGCCATATTCATATACCAGAAGGCATATACAGCTAGCCAACAGAAGAAGCGACAACATTAGCATATAAAAAAAGTGAGAAAAAGAAAGGGTTCTTTAAGGATATGCACCATTAGTTGCTGGAAGATCAGACCATGATGATGAAAATGTTGGATTCCAGTAACCCAATTGTCCTCCAGCGACAGGAGCTGACTCCAAAATGGATGAAGAAGATGAAGAAGCCACATTGCTCAGAACAACTGCTGAGCTATCAGAGCAATAACTTGATGATGATTTGAGCCTTTGATACAGTGCTTGAAATCCTGTGTTTTGAACTTCACCTAGTAGGAACGACCCATTATTCTGTTGTTGCTGTTGAACTTGGTGTTGATTGTTTTTCCAGAAAGGGCTGCAAAGTCCAAGAGAAGGAACCTGGCTGCTAAGAGAATCTAAGCCTAGGGTTCGAGCATTTAGTGCACCAGTTGCAACGGCTGGTTCATTTATCCCATGTGATCCAAGCAGGCTCACCTCATCCTTAATACTAACAGAATTAGTAGAAAATATTGTGTTAGGGTTAGGGTTTTGTGTAGTTCTCAAAAAGGCTAGAAGATGAGAACTCTGAGGTGAAGCCCAAAGAATTGGACTAGATTGAAGCTCATGATCAAACCCATCTCCAAGGCCAGACCTTCCAATTTCAGATACTACTGTTTTCATCTTAGCAGCACTTGATTTTCCCACAGATGTTGAAACAGTAGTGTTTTTGTTTTTCCTGCATCCACCTCCAATAGGAACGTTCCTAAGCGCACCTCCTTTCGTCCAATACCGACGACAAGTCTTGCAAAAGTGACGAGGCTGAGTGAGATTGTAGTTGTTGTAGTAACAGAACTTTGTGTTGGAGGAATCACACCTGGGGCACCTCAAATTCTGGTTCTCCGTATTTGCTGAAGTTGTAGAGTTAGTAGTTGTAGTTGTTGATGAAGTTGTGGAAGAAGAATGAGATGGTGATGGAGAAGAAGTAGGGGTTCCTTCCAAAATGCTTCCAGTGATGGAGATTTTCCTCTCACCTCCAAAATTCAAGCCAGCAGCAACACCTCCTAGGAGTTCTTGAATCATCTTTTTAATTTTTTCTCTCTTTGTATAGATCTACAACAATCCAAAAACAAGAAAAGCAAAGAAGCTGGTGAGTCTTTTTTTTTTTTTTTTTTGAGTTAGTGGCTAAGCTGCTAAAGTAGGCTTTGTTTTGTATTAACTTATGTATGATGCCTGACCATGTGAGAGAGAGAGAGAGAGAGAGAGAGAGGATGGAGCGTGACTTGCCTTTCTAAGTTCAGGTGAATGGCTTTGGGTCTTTTTTTGTGGGTGCAAAAGAATAGAGAACAGATGGTGGGGATGCTTTAATATAAGCCTATACGGCCATGGTAAAAGAAGCTTACTTTAGTGTCTATCTACTATCTCAAAAAGCAAGCGGGTTGGATAGAAATTTGGTTGTAAGCGGTTTTTGAAGGGAATTGAAATGGTTTTCTTCTGATTATCTTCAAGTACACAAAACTACATTATTACCTTTATGATTTCCCTAATACTAAACAGGGAAGAATCTAGGATTCAATTTGATTCACTATTTCGACATCTTTCAAAATTTTATTGATTTACTTAAGGTATCAATGATATTATATCTTTTCCTCTTATGAACTGGTTTGCACGAAAAAGATGGGCTAAACTAGTTTGTTTCCATCTTGAATTAATTCATTATCTTCCGACCAGTCAAACTCAAATAGTAACACAAACGTACGAAATTCAAAAACTTAGAACATATCATGGATTTGAGGAAGAAAAAAATGGCAGTCCATTTTATGAATATCTTTAATTCTCGCCGTTACATATAGAAGGGATGAGTCACAAACCACTAACTTTAATTAGTTAACCATACCGAAATTAAATTGAAATTCCTTTTACAGTTATCCAAAAAAAAAAAAATTCAATTCCTTCGTATCAATTAATTTATAATTGCTGTGGGTGTTTTTGATAAGTAAATTCTCTTAATATAGTTGGAAATGGGCTCTTCTTCTTTTAGAGAAGAATCATTTTAAATGCTGAAAGTGGAAGAGGGTGTGGGGAGTAGAGTATTGATAACGATAACAGTAATCAAGTTTCCTAAAATAATAATCTTGGTTGAGTTCCTTGCCGAAGATCGGTGTTCAAAATCCATCATTACGAGTTCAAGGAAGGGCTAATCACATGGAAGAACGTGTAAAGTCGATCGATGTCCCCACCCCCAACCACAAAGCCACTGACCGAGACTTGTGGCTTGAATTTTGCCTCCCCCCGGCCCCCTTCCACCGTAGATAATGAGCTAGCAAGAGCCAAGTCCCTGAGTGGACCACTATGATTGCTTTGGCTTCCATCCATCGTGTGCTACATATTGCTTCAATTCATTTCTAGTGTTAAAAAGGGTAATTATTCACACGTGTGATATGAATGACAAGATTTACATCAGGAGTCAGATCATCCATTTTGAATTTGATAATAATTAGTGGAGAGAAACACCAATTTAAGAATTCCAAATTTCATTTAATTTATTTATATAATTATTTTAAAAAATAATATTTAATATATTTAAAAAATTAAATTTTAATACTTACAATTTATTTTTTATTTTTTGCTTTCGATATCTTTTATAAAAAGATTAACAGCAATATATTTATAGAAGCTAAAATATAATAAAATAATTAATGTATTTTTTAATACAATAGTTTAAAAATAAAATTTTTAAATAAAAATTAATATCTTAATTGACTTAATACGAATAAGTAATTAAGATATATATAACACAAATCATAGTGAACAATTCTATGTACAGAAATAAAAGATGAATTTTTTTTCATCTACAAAAATTTATCTATTTTGTGTATAATCTTTTAAATTAAGATTTATTTGATTTTGTATCCAAATGTTTTTTTTTTTTTTTTGCTTTTCTATTTTAAAATTAAAAAACGCTAATCAAACTGAACCTAAAGCAACATTTATATGAAGTGTAAGAAAAGCAAGATATGGTAAAAAACAGTTTGAGTGTATAAAGTAAAGTCCTAATATACATGGTTCCTTGGCAAGAAATATAGTTCATGTAAATTTTAAGAATTTTATGTAAATTTTGCCAAAAAAATGTAACCCTAAATCATCTCTTTTACTTAAAAGTTTGAGACACATAAATCAATTCGTATGCGGAAGGGAAATGTCCTTTAAAGATAGGATTTGTACTATCATTCAAGTAATAGCTGATTGGAAAAGAAGCTATATATAAAGTTTAATCATAAATGACAAAATATAATGAAAATCGTGTTACAATCCACAGAACTTGAACAGGATAAACTTTTTTTTGGCTTCCACAGAACAAAAAGGATCTGAAAAACAAAATTTTCATGGAAATGTAAGACACGGGCAGTGATTTGACTGCTGTAATTGTCTGAATTGGCTCACACTTAAGGAAGAAGTTCATGGTGAAATTTCGTAAAAGAAAAAAAAGGACGAAAGGAGACCCTGGTCATGAACATGAGACTAAAAGGTCATCAAATTAGACACTGTTCTACGTAATAATAATGTAAGACAATTTACAAATCAAACGTGATACAACCCTTTATTGGTTTGCTACTTATTAAAACCACAGTTCTAAAACGTACATGAATTGACAAACGGTTGTCGGTATAAAATGATTGCGTACGTAACACAAGTTGCGTCTTAAACATGAAGTCGTGGGTTAAGAATAGGAAACTTTCAAGTTTCAACCACGTATAAGTAAATAAAGAAGGCTCTAAAGAGAAGATCAAATGACTGCAGCAGGGAAATGAAAATGAAAGATTGAGAGATGGGAAATGGTGGGGTCGACATGTCTCTGGTTTGTGGAACCATTTGTCAACCACCATCTACAGTATCCTAAAATTATATCAATTTGTCACTTGTGAGATATAAAAGATATATACTGATATAATTTGGCATTACCTAACCCTGATTATAATCACAACAAAGTCTACTGCATGTCAAATCCCTGATCGATTTGATGAGTACTTTCAATAATCTAATCGGATGGTGAACCTATTGCTTATTTGATCATATCAATCCAATGACATACAGGTTTCAAAGAAAAGAAAGAGCATTGACCTAATTTTACAGTGTAGAATTCTTTGTGTTCATATTATCTCTCAAACTTTAAATTTTGTCTCTTGCTAATAGAAAAAGGCAACAAGTAATGTCTCTACTATTTCTTCTAGCAATTCAATCCAATTTAATTATATGATTAAATTAAATTTAATCAAACAACTTCGTTGAATTTTTTTATAGCAGTATTTGACGGAATTGGAGGAGAATTAAAAATTAAAAATCATATAAGCCAAATTTAGTTGATATAAGGGTACTTTCATCATCGTTTAATGTTCGATAATACACAAACTTTAAATTTGTTCAGATCACCAGAGTATATAATGAAAAACAGAAGAAATATAGGTCTAATTAAGGTTGCTTTTCATGAGTTCCAAGTGGAGCTGGATGTCTAGCCTATTATAGTTGCCATTATACCAATAATCATCAAATTAAAGTTGAGTAAGGGAATTTGCTTTCACCGACATTCCACCACTAGGTTAGTTAACCTAACATGTTGACTCCGTCATTAATCTTAACCAAAATAATTAAACAAATGACTATATATCAAACAAGTTGCATGGAAGGGACATTTATGTCAAACAAAAACTACATAGTATTATATTATATCAATCCCCCCACTTTTGTCCAAAAAACCTTGGTTTTCCTTTGAGACCTAATATATACATACATATCTGCTTTTAAGGTGGGAATTTGGAGGTGTCCTTGTATTGGGACTGAAATCTTGTCATCAATCTTGTCTGAAAAAAGACCAAAGTATGAAAATGAAAACAGCTCCCGTAATGTCTTGTTGTACAGCTCGTGAAGAAGAGAAAAGAACCCGAAAACATGCTAAAAGCTAGAATGAAGAAAAGGAAGTGTGAATGCAAAAGGCAAAAACAAAAAAAAGTACCCAAGCAAAAGCACATGTAAAGAAAAGAATACCCAAGTCGTGTTTTGCCATAAAAAACACGGGTAAAAAAAGAAAAATTGTGTGTTTCTCGAATTATGTTGTTTTGAGAAAATTATTGTTGTTGGAAGTGGACGTACGACAGACGAGGTACCTGACCGCGCGTGCCGTCCGGTGCGCGAGACTTTTGGGGTCCAAAGACCGACACCAAGAGGGGCTGCCCCTTGCTCCTTTGGCCCTGACTTTATCTGATGAAGTGGATGGATAGAGGAAAACGACAGGAGCTCAGCTATGATCCTTTTGTCTTTTTCAGACAGGGTTTGGGCAATTTGGGCAGTACGGGTAGACAATCTAGTCGCCGTCAATGTTCTGTGTGGGAGCCTTCCTCGATCCACGGGCTCTCTTTCCTTTCTCTCTGTCAAAAACCTCAACAATAATAATAAAAAAAAAACTTATCTTCTTCTTTTGCTTGCTCCATCACTATCAGCTGCATTTTGCATTATTGTATTATTGGTTGCCCGCCCCTAATGGTATCTATCAAAGCCTGATGTTTTCATTATGATCATAAAAGCAAATAATATGCCAAATTAATTAAATTTATCAAATTATAGTACTACTTGCATCAATGTTGAGCTTTAATAATTAGAAGAGTTCATTTTGTTTTGTTATTAGAAAATGATAGTTTGATGTAGTTTCGAGGAAATGCATCAACTTCATGGACAAATTTATATCACCAATTAACTTATCATTAATTTTCTCAAAGACAGAGGTAACTTGATATTTCAGTACAATATTCAAGCAGAAAGAGGATTCTAGAGGAATATTCAAATCTATTTTTAAATAGGTTATATATATATATATATATATGCATCTACCATTAAGTTAACATTCGAGTAGTGTGATCAACTCTTGTTTATAGCATCATATTAATGATGAATATGCTCTAGACGTAAAACTTGATCCTCACTTATACTTTAATCATTTAAATATGTGTAGAAATTTTCCCCAAGGAAAACAATCAATTGTCAACCTTATAATATATGTTAATGAAATTAGCTAAAAAAAAGATCGTAACAAGAAATCTAGCTAGAGGTGTAGATATAAGCGGAGAATGTGTAAGTGCAAGGAGTATACGTGTCATGGATGGAATGATATGACCCATTGCTGCATGAGATGTGATACACTCCCACTCCCACAGTCCATATGGACCTCGCTCCATGTCTCCTCTTATGCAGCATTAATTGCAGCTTTTCTAGGGTTCCTCACCTTCCTCCCTTCTCTTTTTGGCCCAAGTAGGATATTTACCTACCTTGTTGCTTTGTTTGCTTGGATTGAATAATATAAATAATGGGAATTGAATGATTTCCTACTTGAATAATGTCAGTGATTCTTGATCTCCCTCTTTCACTCATCTCTCATGCATTATGCGTCAATATCATCAACTCATCACTTCGTCAAATTGCGTTAGGGAACGAGAAGAAACATATAACAGATTTTGTCTCAGTATCATGCATTATTTAAAGCGTGCT